AAGAGTATCAATATGTTCCTCTGACTAAATAGTTAAATTATAATTTTTGGCAACAAATATAAATTAACATAATAATTACTTTGATTAGGATGAAGTTTAAACGTCGCCGCCGCCGACTCGGTGGTAATGACTCGGTATAGATACGGGGTACTGGGGGTAGACAACAAGTATGTGGTAAACTACATCATAAGACAAGAATACCAAAATATGGGAACGTGGAAATGATGCTATTATATTTTATTACATTTTCCGAGGTGGATTAAGAACATGGTCAGAAACAAATTAAGGTTTTATAATATTTATTCAACTGTTATTTTTAATAAGGTATTCCCTTATATAAACGTTGACAGTTTTATGTCATTAATCATTATAATGGTAAATTATATTAAAATTGTATTCTAAATTTCGATAATATCATGTTTTATTAATTTGATAGAAAATATTAATGTTCGTTTAAAGATCATAAAGGTAATGAACTATTAGTATTTGTTATAACCGCAATTAAAAATTTATAACTAATTGTTTTTAAACCAAATAAAATGTTGTTATTCATTACTTAATATATTGTTTGTAGGTATGCAATAACAAATACGTTAAAATATTTGTTGTATTGATAAAAAGTGTTATCTGTATGGATTCTAGTTTTCACTACAGTCCTATCACGTCATTAAAATTTAATTTTTATATTTAATATCGTAGCTATTTAATTTAAAATATGTTTTGTCTATACTATAGTATTAATATTTTAAAATTTAAAATTTAAAACCTTTATGTGATAAATAATATTCAATTATGAGATACTATTGAATAGCGAAATATATTATATTATAAAATGATTATCAATGTTAGTAAATATTATTAATTTATTTTATTTATAGGCACTAAAGCCATTCTTTTTTTTAAATGTAGGTATATATTATAAATTACTCATCATAAAATATAACTCTAGAATTGTATTGTATATTTTACAAATACCTACCAATATCATAAAACGATTTGTACAACTCTGCACTACTTTTCATAATGCATTTAAAAATGTTCAACGTAGGTTCTCATGTATTTTCTAAAATTAGTTCTTGGTGTTGTAATATTATAGTTAAATAATATATTATATAGACATAGTTGAGTTAATGACATACACACAACATGGTCTACAGGTATCGTAAATAATATCTTTTATACCTTTATCATTCCAATAATGGGATATTGGGATATACAATATACATATATTATCCCGGCGCCTTTGTAATAAAATATTATGTATAATGTGGCAGGTTACGACCGAGATTATAAAATGTTCGAATTAGTTTTTATGTATAGATATAGCCTTTAATTTCCATAAATTTCTATAGTTTATCATATTAATTATATATAGTACATAATATTGTTCATGATCGGTAGACCGCAAGTAGATCGTCCTGCAGACAAGATAAACCTTATACTGTATTTTTGCACCGTGTAATTTCTGTGTACTTTTATAAATCGGTATTCGAATCGCTGGATGAAAAAATGTACATAATATATTTAGATACCCTACGTGTTATTTTTTTCAAATTTTAAATGTTTAATCTGTTTAATCCGGTATATTTATAGGCTTTGCTCTCTATATTGTATAATAGTAGATAAAACACTTTTTTTATTCAATTTTTTCTATTTTATAGGGTCATATTATAGTCTTGCTATAGACTCACTGTTTACAAAATAACAATTGCGCATCATAGTATATTTCATTATTAATTAAAATGTTTTATTTTATTTTCGGCGTCAATTGTTGTTAGTATTCGACATTGTGGCAAAGTCTGTAGAATTTGCCACAGATTGTTAGATTAAGTATTCGATTATATTCATTTTTATACTATTAACCTAAGATGACAGGTGGTCTTGTAAAATATATTTTCCTCAAAACTTGTATACAATATTTAGGCATACACGATACTGTTGTTACATGTATGATATAACCTATATATCTGATATACCTATATACCTCAAGTAGTTTTTCACATAATTATGTATTAACTAAGATATAATATAATATACCGCAGACAAGAATGTTTTGTACCATAATTATGTTATCAAACATATAATATATTATTAATTATCACGGTGGTTGGGGTTGACCGTTCTGTAAGTAAATTATAATTGAATTAGCGTTTTTCCCTTTCAGGGTTTCTTTAATAATGAATCTTCTTATGGTCATTGCATAATATAATGTAATTTAATATTATTCACTATCTTTATCATAACCAACATATGTTCCGCTATCTCTAATCATTTATTTAGTGATAATATTTTTTTACACACGATAGAATGGAATTTGTGAGTGTTAATTTATTACAATTTTAATATTCTACGAACAATAAAAATTGTTGATTGACTCTTAAATAATTATCGACGTTTATGAAGTTAAGTAATGAACAATGTAAATATTTAATGATTAATTTTGTTTAAGTGTTTAAATATTTACCTACATCTGTATTGTCGTATGTTCTATATGTGGTGCTCTCTTACAAACTTGGAATTTGTTTACTTAGTTTCCAAGGTACGATATTTTATTTAAATAAATTGTAATTTCAAAACAATAATTATTAGATATTATAATTTACTATAAATTATTTGAATTTATAACAATGACGTTTACCATAAAATGCTATATTATACATTTCCATACAGATATTATACATTATTATCTAAAATAATGTTTTTTTAAACTGGTGGCCAGCTGTTATTAGTTATATTTTTTTTTTCGTAAAATGAATCTAAGAGTTGACGTTTTTACCTTTTTCAGTTCTAAATTTTTAATCTAAATACTTTTTAATTTTTGTAACTGTTAAATGTTAGTAATGTTACATGTAGTCATATTTATAAAAGTAATATATTTTATTATCAAATAACACGTCTATTTCAGCTTATAATTATATTATAAATTTGAAACGAAATAGTTAAATATTTAAGTGAAAGTTTGTTTTTAGTAATATTTTAAATATTAATTTTGATTTAACTATTTTAACTACACAATTAATTTACCCTTTAATAAACCCATTTATTTTTTTAAGTAATATGGTGTAATATTAACCACTTACCTAATACAAATATTCGAGTTTCAAAATTTTATATAAAATATGAAAGTAGCTATGAAGTTTACTTTAATCTTTTATGAACACATTTTTTTTTAGTTTCAAAGACTATTTATTTCATATTAAAGAAAAGTCTTCATAAATATTAGTTGATTATAAACCTATACATATTGGCAACTCAGTTTTCTTTACAGAGTGTATACGTTTTTAATTTTTATAATTACATGTTTTAATGTTTTATTTGTTTCAGTAATTACTTGATTTAAATAGCTAATACCTATCTAGTATAGAAAATCGATGAAAAGTTTTTAATGAAGGTCTTACAATCATGTCTATTTTACTTTTTTTCGGTCTGTTTTTTCCCTGCAGTTTATTGTTGTAGTTTAAAATTGTATAAGTCTACAATGCTTTAACAATATGTAGTTCATTATCAAACCAACAATGTGCTATATTAACTACTGTAGTTTTTCAAGTTAAATGATTTTCATTTAAGTACACATAAAAAATAAAATACTGATTTACTTGACTTAGGTCTAAAGTGCTTTATAGTCACATATTATTTTCTATAGAAAATTATGATTTTAATTTTTATTAACATTACTTATAATATACTACTTTATATACATTATGCATCATTCCGCAACCAGTGTAGATTTTTAAAATTAACATTTTCAATCTTGCCCTTGATAAACTATAGGTAATGGAAGCATTCCACATTTTCCGTACGTTTGGTAGATTTCTAAAAAATAAAAATGGTGTTGTTTTAGCTAAATCAATTTGTTTTATATTTTTTAAATCGATTTGATTAAATTAATCGTATTCCAAGGCTAAAATATTCGCCATGGCAGGTAAATACTTCATACTATTCTTATCGTCTTTCTATAGGCAAGCATTTATATTTCAACTCGCATATCATACGAAACGGAAAAGTTAAGGACATTTTAATATATCACAGCTATTTTCTCAGCGTTTATAAGATGTCTAACAATTATTGGTCCTTGAATATAACTGTTGATACTAACTTAGGTATACGGAAAAAAATGCTATTGATTAAATTTTACTTTTAGTAATACGGAATTAAATATTATTTTGATTTGCGTTTACCAAATTAAAGTGCAAATGTGTAAGTTTAAAATTGTATTTTTGAACATGAATTTCTGATATGGTGATGTTATGTAGGTTTATCATAATTCATGATAAATACAATGTATATTATATATATTAATGTAATGGTGGTTGTAGCTTTTTTAATGTGAACTCCAACTTTAGAAATTTATATCGATTTTGTGTTCCTTGTGCCTTTCCCACGTCTTTCATTATTTGTATTCTTTACATCTACCCCCTTTCTATTGATTCACTGCAGATATGGAGGAGAACTCCAAGCCCATATACTGTAGTTGTATTTAGATTTACTTCTATAATAAATAGTTTTTAGGTAGTATCATGATATTTAAACGCATGTTTTAATAAAAAATAAAATATTTCTCAGCAAGAAATCGTGAATGGATAAAAGCTTCCCCCCTAAAAATAACAAAACACCTACTGATTGTGTCACTCACTGTTTGGCTGTTGGTTCAACAAATAATGCTAGTTGTAGTTTTTTTCCTATTAATAAAAAATAAAATATATTGTTGTCACTGTAAGTATATTTTATTGCAAATTGGACACGTGTCCGTAATATTTAACAATCAATAGATACATACGAAATCACGGTAGCTGTAATATTATATAAGAAATCATAAAAATAAATTCCTATTGATGTTATAATTGGTTTTTTTATTTAAATATTATCAGCACCGTTTATAATAGGTTATTATATCAAATTTGCTTGCAATAATCATCGTAATTTATGTGTGTATACTTATATAGAATATTTGATGATTGGGACCATATTTTATTTTATTGTGTTATTTTTTGCCGTACGCATACATTTAATGAAATGCCCGATGATGAATAAATACGTTTTGTTATTATAATAATAAATTAAACAATATTATATTCTACTGGAACAAGTAATATATTCATAATAATATATACCTATAAATAGGTCTCTGGGAATTCGAATCACATGGTATGTGCATTATTGAGTATGTCAGATGTCTCTCGCCGACCTGTGTGTTATTAATACTGTGCTATAATCATGTAATCACAAAACAAGGCGATTTAATTTCCAAACAGATTTTGTCCAAAAAACCGTATCCATTTTAATGATCGCTTATTCGTCTTAATCCTTACATCCTATACTCAAAAGTTAGTCGTATGTATATTATTATATAACTTGGCTGAGATGTATCGCCGTGTTTGTATTTGTTTTGTTCTATTCTTGTGAACGTCTATACGGTGTACCTATTTCATAAATTAGAATACATTGATAGTTTAACTGAGATTCGAGCTTATATATTATATAGAACCTTATAAAACCATAATACAATAATTGCCTACATATTTACTAGCGCCCGTCCATTTCGATCGATTCAAGAAGGAAAACAAATTATATTCTCACGTATCAGCGGTGGCAATATGTTTGTTTTTTGATACGTATAATTATTTTGTTTTTTCATATGTATAATTATTTTGTTTATTGTTTATCCAATTCGTTGTTTTCGCTGGTTGGTCCTTGTTGATTTCGAATGATATTATAATATATTCATTGATCGCTTCAGACGGCTTTATGCTACACACAGTGCCTTCATTTGTGCTACACAAACGAAAGCAATTATTATTATAGCCCACCATGGCCTATATTATACTCGTATACTATGTCTTCGACTATGACGTCCGACGCATCTCATATACGCAGATACATTGTATAAAAAATATTCATCAACGACGGTGTTATACTGTTAATATTGTTATCGTCTAAAATTACGTATTTACAGTATATTGAACCTATAGTCGATTAGACATTCGGTTTTCAGGACAAATTGTTTATGTACATAACGCATTATGCGTATTAGAAAATAATACATTTAATAGGTGTATTGTATTATGTATAATCAATAAAAACCTTAAACCCTAAGATATATAATTTTCAATAAATAGATTAACAAGTTAAAAATCGTATAGTGCCCTTGACTACAATTAACGACCGAGATCATATCGTTAATTTTGTAATTTCAAATATTATGCTGTACCACATAATATTTTCAGTATTCCATTACTATTGTACAGCATTTGTTGGTGCTGGTCATTATAAGGTTACAAACATAAGTTTTGTATTCGACCATATTCGATCGCCCTCATCTTTGTATATTACCAGTAATACACAAACTTAATTGTTTAAAAATATAAAAAGAAAACAGAAACAAACAACTCGTTTGAATTTAAGTCACACAATTATTTAAAGCTGACGAGACAAAGTTTGAGTTTTCTTTAGGCCAGCACAGCTGCATAACCGTTTCAAAAACAAATATTTCATTTTGCAGGTTGTCAATAGTGATTAAAGTACTAGTAAATTACTTATGTAAACCATCATGGTGCATCGTATTATAATATTAAATCAACCGAGAGCTGATTAAAACGGTTTGCTCGGTGTATAGTTGCAGGTTTATTTCTCTCTGGAAAAACGAAGTTTTTGTTTTAACGATCACTGCGTTACATGAACTAAACCAGTGGATAAATAAGACTTAATTATATAAAAAATATCTGTAAATATAGACGGAATATTCGATTCGAAAAATTGCTTAATAATTGATATTTTATGATAATATATCTTCGTTTCTATTATATTCGAATAAACTTTTTGGGAATGCCCATGAGCGGTTTGCGTTTGGGTGAGCTTGTAAACATTTCAATGTGTTTAGGTGAACTTTTTTAATATTTTCCAATTATACGTTTGAGTAGTATTTTATCAATGCATTTTCCCTTTTATTTTGACAGACTTGCTGGCACTGTCCGTGAATTCCACGGGCATGATTCAAAATTGACTGTGTTTTTGTGTGTTTAAAAATCACAAATTAAATTATAATATTATTACAATTTAAAATTTAAAAAATGTATTTGTTTCTTATATTGTAACAAATGCTTATTATAAAATTTTGTTTTATACATATTATATTATTGTATCATATTCGCTCAGACTCAGTATAAAAAACTCGTCTAAACATATTGATTTTATTAGGTAAAAAAGTAATTCACCCAAACATAGACATGACGATCCAGTCCATATATCGAAAATATATTTTTGGATACTTAGTTTCTCTATACCTGATGTATAATACATAAGCAAACAATGAACTGTTTGTTGTTTACATAACAACGTCAAAACTTTTTAAGATGATGGCAGTGTACCATATTATTTTGTTTTCTTTATCCTCGGGCCCTCCAATGTTAGATTAGGTTATATAGCAAATTTGAGTTCAGTAGATCCAATTTTGTGTTGTTAGCTTTGATATAGTTTTAGAGTGGTAGACCTAATATCTTATTAGTTATAAGTAATAGGTGACTATATGAGTAATAATTGGGCTTGATGAAATTCGGCTTACAAAATACGTTTACCCGGCTGATTGCAAAGTGTATTCGTTTTTGTTGGTCTCGGGTCCTATACTTTTATTACTGTATACCCATCACTATCATGTTATTATTTATATCATACGACATCGTGTGATTATTTTCGCCCCTGACTGACCAGGTGCGGTGCTTAGAAATCACCCCTTTTTTCAAAAAAAAAAAAATGACGGTTGTATATTATTATTTATAATTGTGTAGTAATGATTATAACATTATTGAACACGACTCCTTCCCTCCAAAATTCGTATAACATATATAGTATATTTATTGTAGTAACTAATATTTGATTTACAAAGATTTTATATTTTTGGTTATGTGTTTTCCAGAGACGAAGTTAAAGTGATCGTGTACGGTCAAGGAGTAGAAACGTTCTACGCAGATATGAGTTCACTAACGCAGCAGTCGCCGCCGTCGTCTATGCAGGTGTGTGTACGGTTTGCAATAACGATAAACAAGCGTAACATTTATGCACACAATATATAAGTATATCTATACGTATACAAATGCGTATAAAATGAATGACGTACCTCCACCGCCGCCGCCGCCGAGAATCGGTCTTATAAATACGACCGTTTGACTCGCCGTGTATAACATTGCCGTTTTTTCCACCGTGTATAACATTGCAATTTTTCCGCCGCGTACCCTAAGTGCTTATATTCTCGCTCGATAAAATATGCACAAGTCGAATAATAACACCTACCGTTCTTCGGTTTTTTGGCTGACACTCATCTGCAGCTGTCTGTTGGCCGAAGTAATAAACGCTAAGCCAACAGAGGTGTGTGATATTTTTCTTTTTAATTTCGATTTCATATTCGACGGTTGCTTATCAAAAAAAAAACATTTAAATTTATTATGGCTCTCTGATGTGAATAGTTTTTATAAAATGAAAACAAAATTAATGACAAAATGGATATGTTTTCCTGCAGGTGCATCAGAAGTACACCGTAGAACGAGTTACGCCAGCTTTAGAACTCGGAGAAGGCCCGCACTGGCACTCACCGACCCGTAGCTTGTATTTTGTCGATCTCCACCAGGGCAGGATCAACAGATACCATCCGGAGTCGAACAGCTTCTTCAGCGCCAAGATAGGTACGGCTATCGATCGTCCCATTTGCGTCAGCTCTGCGCAGTAACAGTAGTCACAGACAAGCGCGGATTAAGATCATTTTTGGGCCAATTAATAATAATATATCCATTATCCATATACTGTAGGTAGTAGGTACCTAGCCAACTACCCATCGGGGGTTCACTATTGTCCGATATCGGTTGTGTGCTCGGGCCCATGGCCCCCTGCCCACGCCTTAATCCGGGCTTAGTCACAGAAATATGTTTTCTAAGTTTTAATAACCCGCAGCAGTAACTTTGTAACTGTTGAGTCGTCTACATTTTTAATTTTTAATTGGTACATTGTAACTTTCCATGTTACATTTTCATCAATCCCCGTACTCAATACGGGGATTAAGTAGACATTGAAAAAAGGATGATGTAATATTGTAATGTTTTTACGAATGAATAATAATCTAAAACTATTTGTTATCAACGAAAAATATTTCTTATCGCGATGAATAAATAAATAAATACATTGACTATGTCGAACTAAAATATAACAACTACAACAAAATAACTTTTAACTATGCGGTAACTTAATTTAGATTCTCTACGATTAACTATATATTCTTACTCTATGAGTTTTGGCAATTATACATTAGTAACTGTAACTTAGCTGCTAAAGCCTCTATAGTAACTTTCTCGCTACAAAGGATATACATGCCGATATCATTTTATAATATTTCATATACTAGAAACCGGCACGTGTAGTCAGCTACAAATGTATGTTAAATTTATGTTAATATTGTTCTTGTATTGGTGTCTGTTCTAGAGGGCTACAAAGATGTAACTCTCATCCTGCCGATCGTGGACCAGGCTGATATGTTCGTGGTCGGTCTGGGCTCTTCGCTCGGCATAGTGCAGTGGGATGGCCGTTCGAATACAACGAGTCAGCCCAAGTACGAGAAACTGATTGATGAGACACCGGGCAATCGTCTGAACGACGGCAAAGCGGATGCCACTGGTCGACTGTGGGTTGGTGAGTGTATAACATAGACGATTACATGTCAATTTTTAAAACCTTGACCTTAAGTATGGCAAATTTTAAGGCTTTGAGAAAAAATAATGTTTTAATGTATGCAACTGAAGAGGTATTTTATACAAGTCTAAATTTATTTTATTTTTATAGGTATAAGGCTGTAATGTAAAAACACTTAAAAGTGTACGAAATCACTCATTTAATAAAATAAGATAATTTTTTTGTGTTATACGCCTGATAACCGCATACAATTATTTTATAAACATTTTGGTATAACTTGACGTGGTAATTTATTTGCCCTCGCTAATATAGGGTCCATGGGTTCGGAGATGAAGGAAAATCCAGGCCACTACCACAAGCGCCGTGGTTCCCTATTCTCGGTAGAACCGGATGGCTCCATCAACAAGCGCTTGTCCAACGTGAGCATCTCCAACGGGATGGCGTGGAGTTTGGATAACAAAGAGTTCTATTACGTGGATACTTACAAGTTCGCTGTCGAGGCGTACGATTTCGACATCACCACCGGAGACCTAAGTGAGTGCCTCGCCACCGAAATTACTTTTAATATTATTATGCATGCATCACAATAATACCACGTGCGTGAATTATGTTATTGTTTTTTCAAAACGACATCAATTGCTGACGTGCAGCCAACGGAAAAGTGATTTTCGACTTGACAGCAAATAAAGTCGCCGGCGATCCGGACGGCATGACCATCGACAAAAACGGCAACCTCTGGGTGGCGTGCTTCAACAGCAATCACGTGAGTGTCGTCCGCTAAGCCGGACACGTTTTCAAAAAGTTTCATTTCGATTTTTGAAACCCACAATTTCTCGTGCGTTTAAATTATAAATTATAATTTTTAGATTTTGAAAATCGATCCCATCACCGGCACGCTGCTGACAACCGTCCAATTGCCCGCCTATCAGGTAACCTCGGCCGCGTTTGGCGGACCGAAATTAGACGAGCTGTACGTGACGACGGCCGGTTACCAGTTAACCGAAGCGCAAAAGGCCAAACGTCCGTATTCCGGTGCTCTGTTCCGAGTGACTGGCACGGGATCCACGGGCTTCGAAGGAGTGTCCGCCAAAGTACACTTGTGTCCGGCAAATCAACTGCACACGATATAAGATATAATAATAATAGCTATTATAAATTATATACTTACCTTAGTGTTAAGTACTTATTCGGTGTAAATATTACTGTTTGATTGTGTGTAGATATTTATGTATATATATATATATATATATCGTTAATTAAGGACATTATGTTATATTATTATTTTATTATTAAACCAAATGCAGCTGCAAGTATTATATGCAGATCTTAAGAAATACTACTTCTTTATTTATTATTAGATGTTAAAATTAAATTTAATATTCTATCACATCATTAAAGTACAATATTACCTAAGAGGACGTGATACCTGTATGTGTTGTCTCTGTCTTACAAGTGCGTAACATAGCAAATTGTACTCTCAGCAGAACACGTGTTGCTCCGTTAGTTTAAAAATTAGTGCGATATGACCTCTTATAAAGAGGCAACCTCATAGGTTTTTTATTATATTTTAATTTTAACGTGAGTTATGAGTATTTTAAAATTATAAATTATTTATACATCTTAAAATACTTATAACTAGCGTTAAAATAAAAATATAATAAAAAGCCTACGAGGTTGCCTAGATAATAATCTTACCTTTAGATTTTATAAGAGGTCAATTCACTTTAATTTTTAAATTAACGGAGCTACACGTGTTCTGCTGAGTGTACAATTTGCTTTGTTACGCACTTGTAAGACGGAGACAACACATGCGGGTATCGCGTCCTCTTAACGCCTAACACGTTTCTAAACACTGGATTTTCCATTACTAGCCTACGAGTTTGGACAAGTACTAATGTACTATAATGCAATCGGACATCATACCACAGATCGCTGGACATGTGTTAAGGTATTAACTTTTTTATGTTCAACTTAAACTTACCTTTGTGCTTTTACGAAATTTTAGTATAAAGCCATGCCCAAATACAATATATGTACATTTGTTTTAATAGTTATGTTTGTTTTTAATTTGCAACTGCCATCGTCAATGGAATGAATTTTAATAGAATTTATTTCTCAACTAAAATCATTTGTACGATTATTGTAAATAATAGTAGATTGGTAATCGTAGGTGGTGAAAGAAATACAATATTTTCTGATGAAATACTTTGAATGTAAATGTGTGTTCCTACTTTTGCCGTTAGGTAATATACGTACCTATCGTTGAATGGTCAATTGAGTATGGCCATACTATAAAAAATAAATAATGACGAATAACTCTGTATTTTAATTTTTTTTTTTTTTTAATCATCCATATCTGAGCAATAGTAAGTTGTGTTCATTAATAATTGCATGTAAGCAATATTAAATATAGTTTGTTAATTAATTAATTATCATTAAATGATTTAATATTATAAAATAAAAGCATCGCATTAGATATTAATGTATTATTATTAGAGTTGTATAATATTACTCATTAAACTGACCGTTCATTAAATTATTGAGCAGTATAAAATAAAAGTATCGTAATAGATATTAATTTATTATCATTTTAGTCGTGTAATGTAATAGTATATAATATTACTTATTATAACTGACGTATAAACTTACTTAATTATAAATCTCGTTATGTGATGTTAAATTTGATAAAGTTTGTAATAATTAGAAGGGAGGTCACCGTGGCTGTATAACCTACATCACGTATTGGTTTAAATTATAATTATTCACACTTAACCATCCTAAACCTATAATGGTATCAGCCCGTTTCTCATTCGGTTGATGCTGTGGGCGCTAGTCAATCGAACTATTTGAACTGCTATTTTTAATTTAATTTAGCGCCACTGCTTATTTATAGTACAGTATTGCAATATTAATAGTTATTACCGCAACATTTAGTACACTTGTTTGCGCACAATAATATTGTATAATTAGGTACTATGTGCTGTTTTATTAATTGTATTGCGTACAGTCATAGCACGGAATATACAAACAGAGTATGATAGGATTAATAATTTGCATTATTCGCGCAGCTGATTGACGTAACAAAAGTAAACATGTAGGTATAGGTTGCTATAGGTAATAGATGTATTATAATAGGTATCGGATTATTTGTTTTCATCGTTGTAATTGACTCGAAATAATAGTATCGTTGATGTCCCTAACGTCGGCTAAATATTTTTCATTCCAAAATCTGGTGACGGCGTTTGATAAAATCAGACAGAGTATATACAAACACGTACGACCAAGACTCGAAAACGAAAAGTCTTAAAATTCGAAAACGTGGTTGCGCCTACAAATGAATCCAAAATAAATATTTAAAATGACCGAAATCGGCGGAATCTATGTCCGTGTTTTCGTCGTCATGTTAATTTTTGTCGGCGACGGTGATCGATGATAGCTGCAACGCATAGCTATGACATCGTTTGTTTATACCATTATTAATAATTATCACCGTTAATTCTTCTATTATTATTCCAATTCCTTCTTTCTTTGTGCGTAAATTTAATATTTTTTTAATGGTCGTCTTACGAAAAGCTCAACAATGTTCTCTTTTCGATTAACGTTTTTCGTTCACTGCTACTACTTCAATGCTTGTTTGTTCTACCATCTGTTCGTACCGCCTGTTCGGTCGTCCGACGGCCCGAGGAAGAAAACGAATGAAAAAGTGCGAGCACCCGAGACCGTATGTAAACTGAAATAATTAATATGTGATTTTTTTGTTGTTTTTGCTCGTCATGATTATATGCAGATGGTCGGCGGCGCTGTGACCCGGCACTTGGACGAATTTAAAATTAATTGCTTGCATCAATTCACTAAGAAAGAGCTCAACGAGCACGCTGTGGCTCAATGGAATTATCAAGTGAACAAAACCGAAGTGACGGAGCACGAGGCCGTAAGTCTCTATTCTGCGTTAAGTCTTTTCATTTATGATATTTTGAGTTCCAACACCTTATCGGTATTTAAACGCTTTGGTTGATAACCAACCTAAGAATACCCAAAGAATAACCTAAGAATATACCAACCTAAGAATTAACTTAACCTGTCTTATAGTAAGTAGACAGTAGTAATGTTAATATAATATGACTGCGTATAAAATTAAGACTTAATGAAACCGATTTAGTGATGGAGGGAGGAGGGGGTCACTTATGACAAAAGAAACTTATCTTATGGATCCCCTTCATTTTGAACAATATTACGTTTATGAAAGACAACAATAAATGAACAAATAAACAGTTTGAAAACTGTCAATGGGGTTAATTATAACTATATTTGTGAATTTTAAGGAAATTGAGAAGTCTATGAAGTACTTTTTTTTATGCATTACTATTGATTATTTACTCAAATACCTACTTTTTAAAAGTATCTGCTAACACTGGACTCATAGACCAGGTAACTATAAGTGAGAGTTTGGATCTCGTCACAAGTAGTCTGGCGAATTGTTTTATTCGCAGCAAACGAATTGCATCCCAAGATCCCTTTTTCATATAAATTGTGTCCCGATACTACTACACTAATTGTGTCCGAAGACATTTTAATGACACGAGTCCCTCAACAAAACAACTACTCCATGCATCCTACATTTTAGCAATATGTAACACAAAATAAGCAGAAATGTACCGATATTGTTTTCTGTATTCTGTTAAAATAACACGGATATCGACTGCGAGCGTCGTTTGTTCAAAATATTTAAGTTAAAAAAAACAATTGTGTTGAGATGATAGAGTTTAAACAACATAATATTATAATAATTTATACTTTTATGAACCGAAAACATAAAATATTCATAAGGAAAAACGTGATTAATATCATATGAATTTGTATATAAGTACTTATCGTGAGTATCGGATCATGACTCTGACGAGTGTTTGAATACAAATGAAACCGTTCAAACTTATAATAACTAATAATGTGATATAGAATATTATTATTATATTGTTACAATTCTCGGCGTAACACGGAGTTCTTCAATATCGGACGACCTACTTGTTATCAAATCCCTTTTTTATGAATAATTTTCCACTAAGTAATACGATTAAATGTCACTTTTGTCTCGAATTTGTAATTAATTTAGGTGCATGAAGTAATACCTAATTGCATGATGTAACCATATAATTTATGATTATGAATAATCGTATTATAATATTTTGTGTGTATACACAGGCATACCTACTTATTTTTGTTTTGTTTTAATAGATATACCGGAAGCAGAGTTTTTTTTAAACAAAATCAGTTCGGCACACATTAGCACACTCTCACCGATTTCCGATTATTTATTTAAAAAAAAAATAATGTTCAGTACCTATCATAATGGTGATTTAATCTATGTCATTGTTTGTTTTGTTTCTTTGACATTTAGAGACTGTAAGAAATAACTGTTCGACATGGCAATATGTAAAGTAGAATAAAAATCTCTCTGTCTCTGCTCTATTTTGACGTCAAGTTAAATAGTTATGAATATTTTGCAAACGTTTGGATAAGAAGATTATACAGGAACGAATAAAACGCGTTTCTCGGTCGTGTTTTCTGTGTTCTTCTTTATACAATTTTTATTATAATAATTAAACATGCGATAAAAATGTATAAAGAGATAAACAGCGGTTATATAGATGTACCTACAACATTAGTTATTAATAATATTGTACCTGCTCATAACAGATTATTTCATCCGACCGCGAGAGCAGTATTCTCATAATATTATTTTCGATTAAATGAGTTCTTTGTCCATACTAAATATTAATTAGATTTATTCTGTTTACCGTATTATAATATTATTATCATGTTTGCAGTACTTAATACAGGGTGATTCTTTTATCACTCATTATTTGGAAAAGTATTAATATGTTCTTGAAAATATTTGTTCATGGCTTACAAAACAACGTGTTTTTTTTAAATATATTTTATGCTTATAATTTGTTTTAATGTTTTTACTTTTTTAAATGATAACATACAGTTTTCATTTAAATATCAAATGCAGAATAACTTTCTGAGCATTTCAAATTTTCGATACATAAAAATAAAATTAAGGATTAAAGTATTTCAATTTTAAAGTGTAGATGCACGAAATAGAATGGTATGTGGTTAGGAAAATGTTGGTCGACTATATACTCCACTCATCTAAACTTTAATTACTTATAAGTTATAACTTCTAAGTTACAAACTTACCTATGACTAAATAAATATTCACTCAATTCACTTTTAATCTAAACTACTCGCTTTAAATTCGATTTTTAGTATCGAAATACTTAGAAAAATTGTCTGCTTTGAAATATGAATTAAATCTGTATGTTGCCATTCAAAACTCTAAGAAAACCTAAAAAATTATAAAGTTAAAAAATACATTAAATATGTCGTATTTTTCTTAATGTTTATTTTTTCGACTAAAAAACCGTATAAAATTTGAACCACAGAAAAAAGTCCCGATGAAAAAAGTGCTACACTAGGAGAAAGCAAATTAATTTAAGTCTAAAATAATAAAAACAATAATAGTGCCTATATACTTGTTATAAAAATGCAATATATTATAATATTTTAATCACAACTGTATCTTATGTTAAGATTTACAGCTAAGCCTAAGTTTTTTACTTTTATCGCAGAAATAAGATTTTCATACTCTGATGCACATGTTCATTATTTTTTGAAAAAAAGTTGGGTGAGTTATATCTAAATCAGTTTTTAAAAAAACATGGATAATTCTTGAGCGGTTTTTTGAACACCAACTAATAAAATTAGAGCATTCTCTGTGGAAATTGAACAAAAACCTCATTCACAACGATGTAATCCAACAGACTGGCAACAGTCTCGTTATCTATATCATGACTATGTCAGATGTTTGTAATTAGGGAATTTTCTAGTTTACCAAATATACGATAAAAAGATAGAAGTTATGGTATATAGCAAATATATATGTACAAGCATTTTATACATTACACTCACTAAAGTAAAAAGTACAACTGTGGAACTGTACAAGAAAAAATATTTCGTTTAATTATCCTCCGAAATGTGTCCGTGACTTTTTTTCCGATTACGGTACAATTTAGTTTTTGAACAAATGCACTCATTTAAAAATAATAAAATAATCATAATGGTAATTACCATACAAGTTTTCGATAAAAATGAAATATTTCTCCATTAGCATACTTTTTTAAAGTGCATACAAATAGCGAATAGTTAAATAATATACGAAATGACAAAATAAACCGTTTAGGTATTTGCTTTTACATTACGGAGGTTAAGAATCCACGAGGATCAGCTTAAAATAAATATTGAAATTTATGATAATATAAATATACACTCGCTGTTTAAAGTAAGTTTTCAAAAGTTTTATTATTATAATTTTTATTTTCAGTTTACTGTCATTCGCACTTAATAGACAGGTATTAAGTTTTCGGTCACATATTGGCTGCTGTTCGGGTTAACCGTAATAGTCGTACAATATAATATTCAGGTAATACGCGGCAGTTTATTTTTTAAATAAAATAAGGAACTTATAGTTGTATAGGCATAAAGTATACTTCAATATGCAGAGTCGTAATTTCGTTTGCCTACACTCATTTTTTCGAGGTTAAAAATGTAGTATTAATATTATAAAATGGTTGGTTTTTCACAAAGCGACGGTTTTTTTTATTTCATTATGTCTGTTTCTGCGTGCACGACGAAGTAATTGCATATTGCATGTCGTTTTTCAAATGGATATTTAATAAACATCGCGAACCATACAATTTTATGTTTTATACGAGAAAGGAGTTATACAGTAATCTCGTGTATATAGGTACACGTAAGTCGTATAATGGTGCATATGAAAATATTATGACTCGTGTACGTCTGATTCGCTAGAAATACCAAAGTCATTGAAACCAACTTCGGTGAAAAAATGCATTGTGATATCGTCGGGAAATCTATTCGTTTGATAATATTATAACGGCCGCAGGATATATATTTTTATTGTTATTGTTATGATCAATCATGTTAACAGGTATATTTATTACAATACCGCCTGTACCTATATACGCGTATTTCAGTAGACCGGCCCCTGGTTGTTGGGTGTTGTATGTCTATTCGTCTATGTATAAGTAACGTCCGTAAGTACTTTGTTCGCAATTTACCGAATCCCTATTTCATATCACCGCGGGGTAAAATCAAAATAAAAAAAAAAACGATCTCTTCTGCGGAGTACCTGATATACCCCGCCGTCTGCGTAAGACTCACAGTACATCGAGTAGCTATATTATGAAAGTTTTGAGCACTTCTCTATCCCGGAGTAGATATTTACTAAAAGGGGAAAAAACCTTATCGTGGCAAAATCAATAGCTCCCCTCGTTCCGTTCAGAATCTGAATACATATAAGATATACCCATACGGCCCCATATTATCGTCTACTAGCTGATCCCGTGCACTTTGTCACCCTTAAAAATACTAAATCTATATGATTCAAAATGTGTGTTCAATCCGTCGTTTAGTAGCCGGCGCAGTGATAATGTTCAAGACTTCTCGTGTATTTACCCAACCGTAATCGCCATTGAAGATTTTTAACACAGTCATATAAAATACAGGTTTACAATGATATTCAATCATAATAACTGGTTTTCTATTAGTTTTTTTTTTCATAATTAGATTTGGGTAGGTAAAACAATTTTTAAAATCGGTACCTATGATAACCAATTGCTAAATTTCTTATTCATCGAAATTAAATTTTTTAACAGCGCAATAACTGCAACTCTATAATAAACGAAATATATTATTATTATTTGTATTATTTCTATAAAAAATTCTCAATTTGCAATAAAAAAATTAGATGGATCCGTTTGGTAATGTGGTTTTCTGATAATAAATCACATTTTTAACGATGGTTTTATTATTTGTTTATACCACGGAGGTCATCGACATCAACAAATAAGTCTAATGAAAACTATTTTATAGTATAATAACGTAAAATTAGATTAAACTATTATGTACTTACCTACCAAGTAATGTTTTTTTTTTTTTTTTAATATGCGTTTTCAATGCTTAAAAAGCACCGTGGATGCACATAAACATATTGATGTGATATTTAACGAAAAACTGTTTGCGTGTACCTGAAACTATTATGTACCATTAAGTTTGTATGCTATTATCGTAATGAATACGAAATGTTTATAGATGAGATCCACCGTTCGATTGTTTATATATCAAAAACTTCTTGTGACGTCAGCTGAAAATATGTCCGTAGCTTTTGGCGTGAACTACGAAGACATATTGCCTTTGGTGTATTTTGTGCATGACCGCGGCATTTGTCAGCTGAACACGGACGAGTATAAGACAGTACGTCCATTTGTCTTGTACAAATTAATATGCACATACAGACGGCAGTCCCACAAAGATTCACCAATTTAAAATGGTCGGGGTTTAATAATTAGCACTATCCCGCCACTTAAATCCATTAAATCGTCGAGTGTAACGCCGTGTGTGTATGTAAAGATCGGCGGAAGTGTCACGTTATATTAATATAATATTTCATCTTCGAATTGATTGTAGACCTTAATGTTGAAGAGGAAACTAAAAAAAACGATTAACGAACTAAAAGTTTGCGAATACCGGAAGACCAATCATCCGTGTGACATCACAGCGGACGGTAATGACAGGCGGTGTTGTTTTAAATCAATTTTGATAACACCAGAGCTTAATATTGTGAATATAGTTTTTTTGTTCATTATGGGCATTGGACGCTTTTACTAAACGTATTTTTTTTATATTGTTATCTTAATATAATATTATGTGTTGCTTTTATTATACTAAACGTAGGGATCTGCTTATGGGTGGAGGTTTAACTTTCTTATTACTAAGAATTGTGGGCTGCATCGTAAAATGTGGATATAATATAATATTATACGATTATTTGAAACCATATTATATATTATTATCTCGGTCCTAAACTTGCCACGGTGTTTTGAATTTCTTGTTCATTATTATTTATTAGTAACGGAACTTTAATCATTCAAGTGGATATAATGTGGTGGAGAAACCATCATTAACTTATATCTACCTATAATCATTTCGATCCTTAGGTTCTTCCCTTGAATATTTAAAACTTAGACGATACTATGATTTATGGTCAGTATAACGTTAACTTATAGCAAAACATTACATTGTATTAAATTTGATTTTTAAACAAAAAAATAATAAAATAATAAAAATATTTTATGAACTTGAATAGTATGGATTATTTGACATTTAATGCTCAGCTCTACATACGTTTTTATACTCTTAACTAAATTAAGCACTCGGTGGTACTTATAAAGCAAGGTAAAAAACAACAATGTCGTAATGTATATTATATACAATTAAGATTAATACTATGCAATATTTATTAATTGTGCTGTATAATCGGCTTTCAGAAATAAATGTCATTATGGTTAACTCGTCAGACGCAGCAGAGTTAAAATACTATTGGAAAGCTTGGCACAATCACACCAGCTACGATGTGAAAAATATCTACATGAATTATATTGAAATGTTGAACTATATGGCCCAGCTAAATGGTAATTTATATTGAACAAAAAAAAAAACAAACATAATACCTTAATAGTTGAATTGAAAACCTAATTAATATTATAATCTAATGTAACAATGTTACACATTTTTGTGATTATACCTACGTTAAAATAGTTAAGGTTAACATGAATAATTAGGTTATAGAACTATGTTTCTATGTTATTTTTTAAATTGTTTTATTTTTCAATACGAGATTATTAATTGGCGTTTAAAGGTTTTTCGAACGAAGTCGATTATTACATGGAACCGTACTCATATATCCAAGGTCAATTGAACACCGATCAGATGTACGAAGGCATAAGACCGCTGTACTTGCATCTTTACACGCACGTTCGTAAAATTCTAAGGGAAAAATTTGGAACAGCTACCGTGCCCGCCAATGGTCCCATTCCCGTCCATTTATTGGGTAAGTTTTAGAATAGTTTGGTAGCACATTCTCTAAACAGTTTACACAACTCCTTGAATCCGATGCTTACGAAAAAACTAAACAGACGGTAATATATGTACGGTCTTCGCGTGCCGTTGATTTTATTGGAAAGAAACTCTATTTATATATTAGTGTGACAGAAAATTGGTGTGTTCTACATTTATTTTGACTTATTACAGTGTTCGTTTTGTCACTTAACTGAAAATGTATTAATTTATACTCATCAGATTGCATTCAAACATGCAACAAATATCCCACGAAAAGCTTAATTTTAAATTAGTTTATATTATTCGAATATTTGAGGTTATGATTTTAATATTCACCAGTTTTGGGCGCAATTAAAAATAAATTTCAGCTGATCCAAAAAAAAAAATATTTGTACTATTTAGTCACGATAATAGAATAAAATTATAATTTTAAATACTCCAATAATTATTAATCGCCATAAATAAACATCATTAAACAAATTGCACTCCAATAGGAAAACTAACTGTTAAAAAAAAAAACCAGAGCACATTATGTATAATTTAAAACCCTTTAAATTTATTCATTTATTTTTTTTGTTTTAATTTATTCTTGATAAATATTTATTTTTATGAACTTTTAAACTTTAAAAAATTACTAATACAGCTTCTTCAAAAAGTAAAAAATCCCAACCCTTGAAGTGTTGCGTTATAGTGGCAGTTTTTCTATACACCGAAACTTAATAAATTCCTTATTTTCAAAGATGTATCGTGTACACAGTATAATGTATAAGATATAATAGTATAATGTCTATTACAAGTTTTGTGAAAATTCATTTATGCTGTTATAATTTTTTCATCCAATTGGTTCGATCATTCACAATTTTATCGTCGTAATAATTGTTTAAAAAATATAATAAATTCATGCGAGTGGCATTCCAATATGTAGGGTATTTTATGAAAATAGCTTTTGTAAATAAATTCCTATTATAAGTTACTACGCGGAGCTGAAAGTGCCATGATGTATAAAATGTCCAATATATGTGGAGGGGTCGGCATAATAATAGGTAATTATTTAAATAAATTATACTCATTTACATACTGGTCATACGTTCAATTTTAATACAATTACGAAGTGTTGATTGATCGCATTCTCTGGTTTCTTATAGTATATAGTATAGGTAAATGTGTAGTTACTATAATCAGCTATATAATTTTTAAACGCTTGACGTGTCTAATATATTCATTAGTTCACGGATAGTAAAATATAATTGAAAGCCGAAGTAGAATAATTTTAATAACTATAAACTACCGCAAAATATTTATTTAAAAAATAATTTTATGTTTTGAACGAGAAATTTCTTTTTTGACATACTTTAAATTTCATAAACATTGCATGCAATTAAAACTAAAACACAGTTTAAACAACAATTGTTTGAACTTAGTTAATGAAACTGAGGTATAATACCTACAATGTATATAATTATAATATTAAGAAGTATTTTGTTTTTGTTTAGTAAGTTTTAAATATATTTTCAAATATGAGACAACAAAAAAAAATCATCCAAACAAACAAACTAGATACATAGTTAGTATTTATGTATAAGTTAAAATTTTTTGTTAAATTTAGCTTATACATATAATATTACTGTGTATTGTGTAACTTTAAGTATTAATTTAGAAATAATAAATCGTAATTTAAATTCGCGGCAATCGTAATAAATCGTAGGTTTAATTTATACATTAGATGTATTTACTATTTCAGATATTCAATTATTATACTTTTTATGTTTACGAATACATGTAAGACATAATATCTAAAAGTAAACTTATCACCCCAAAAAGGTTAATGCAAAATACAACTTTTATATTTTTTGTTTTATTAAAAAAATACTAAATAGTATACATAATACAAACGGTTTTTTGAAAACGTATTCACTGTTGGTAAGTATTCGCAATCGAATAGTAATTCGTATGTATATAATTAAAATGTATTAAATATGAATGTTTGATGGAAACTTTATTGGTTGATATCAAATAATATAAAATGTTCTTAAATATTACAATAGGTACAAATCTATTGGACTTAACTACTTATACCTACTCATTAGTATTATAATTATTATTTATCATACATTATTACTAGGTATTCTAATAACAATAAAAATAATAATAACAAATGTCTACTAAAAAATACTGGTTTTGACAAAATGTTTGACATAGTTGATTTATTAAGTTTTATTGGTAATATTCTTAAGCTGTGTGATTTAAGCATTGTTTATTTTTTGTTCATCAAATGTTTAGGTTCAGTATTGGGTCAACCATGGACAAAGTTGATACCATTCATGATTCAGGAATTCGTTGTACACGAAAATGGCAAAACAATTATGGTATTAATATTTATTCGATTTGATACATACACGATGTATGTTATATTATTAACTACAGTTAATTGAAATCCATTACAGACTCCAAAGCGACTGTTTGATCAAGCTAATAGATTCTTTGTATCGATTGGCATGGGCCATGTGCCGAAAACTGTCTGGGCCCATTCGGTATTGACAGATAATAAACATTTTTCAAATCGTGAACCTTCATCTTGGGATATGTACGCAAATAACGATTTCAGGTGATTTTTTAATGAATTTTCTTTTAATACCAAACTGGCGAAAATAGGGTGACTTGTAATAATGTTATACTAATATATTACATATTAATTTTCACACTTTTGTGCATCCGTAGTTCGGAATTTATTAAACTATTGATATATTTTTATAAAATATCAGTTCAAGTGAAACGTGATAGTAAGTTGATTTTCTCTTTGAGATTTTTTCATTTACAGCACTTACATTTTTCCATGACTCGCGAGCCTTTTGTATATTTAGTACAGACGCTTGACAATGTTTATTAAGATACAGACAGAATTTTTCAGGATAAAAATGGATTTCAAGAACACAGTCGAAGACGTATATACGATGCACAAGCAACTGGGTTTCGTTCATTATTTCGCGGCCTACAAAAAACAGCCAATCGCATTTCAGCATACATCTGACCCAGGTGACGACGTTATAACTATGACAAATCTAAGCATATTTATATTTTTAATGTTACGGGATAGTGTCCAGCCGTCCAGGGACAGCAGGTATACTGATTCAATATATTTCATTGCTATCATGAAAAAAAAATGAAAGGGAGGGGGAAACTTAAGTCTTCCAGATCAATCTAAGAAAAAAATTGAATCGATTGAAAATCTAATTGTGAATATTTAGCTTTATAAAACTGTACCTATACCTACTGAGAGTTCTATTTTTACTGATATAAAAGTGCTCATTTTCCACGAACTGCTTGCTTCAATTGTGTCATAGTGATGTCAGCTTGATATAATTATAAAATTTTATTATTACGAAAAAAATAGTGCTTATAAATAAGTAATAACCAATGTCGATCATCCGTGTCCCAGGACCTATAGCTAGGTACAATACGGATATCAAATTTTAATGTTATCAGCTGTATGAAATCTTAAAGTCTTATAACGTTTATCCTGCCCAACCCTATTACTACAATATGTGCCTTTTCAGCTATACGTTTGAAACAGCATAACCTCACTGCAGCAGTTGTAGGTAATAGTAAAAATAGTAACAATTAAAAATTATTGATAATTCACTCGGATCTATGTGCGATGACGGGGATTACATAAATTATACTAGTAGGTACCCCAATATTATGGCCCTGCTCATATTTCATGGGTATAGCGAGTATAGTATAGAACTTTTTGTGTTCAATCGTCTACGCGTCGAACAAAATTCTTATATTCTAATTGTGTCGGTTGTAGACTGTACAGTCATCTGGTATTTATAATAATAATATATCGTACAATAATAAATAAAAAAAACATGAAAATATGTGATAATCGTTTGGGCGGCACATGCACAGCGTTCGTGTACGGCGTGATAAATGCTCTGACGTTGTCGGTGCGATATCAAGACTTCATCGACAGGTACAACGACAGCGCGAACAGTCGGAGCGTCTATCTGTTGCGGTTGGCCATGGAAAAGGTCGCCGTCCTGCCTTTCGCCTACGCCACCGACGTCTGGCAGTCGGACGCTTGCTCGAGCTCTTTCGCGCCGAAACGCATGAACGATCACTGGTGGAGCAAAAGGTACGTGTATATACTTGCACACGGCGGCGTGCCCGGGAATTGTCGAGGGGTGGGCATGTAACGAGAGTAGGTGCATACAGTAGACTATATATAATAGTAATATAGGTGTATACAGTTATTCGGTCCCGGATTCGGAATTAACTGTAGGTATGGCTCGATTCCGTCCGATAATATACGCCCAATTGAATCCTAATTGAATCCGATAAAACGGCTATGACCGTAGGTAGGTCGTTGATATTGGATGTTCCTATTGTAATCTGATCCACGTTGTTTATTACTATAACGGGTAACGATATAAAATAAGTGGGTACGGCGTATAAGACGAGATGACTATTTGCATAATATTCAAATATAAACAATAAGTGATAAAGCCGGTCGATCGACGGTATGCTCCACATCGATATTTGACAGTAGGTAATAACTATAATAATTAATATGAAAATTAAATTGCAATTAGAAACTGCTGAAATATGTGTATCAAATATTTCATTAGTTATTATTATGTACATTTTTTCAGCATTTGATACACTTTTAACTATGAAGTGTTGTAGAATCAAAGACACAAATAGTGTTGCTTTATGAGTCGGGGATCCTTATAGACTATATAGTATAAGGTTTATAACTGCATAATATATTCAATATTGTATTAATGTATGTAGTTTTAAAAGAAATTGAATTTTTTAACCTGATAAAAGTATAACCAGTACTGGCTGTACTGTGAACTATATATAATATGTAAGCTTATGTCCAGTAAACAATGTAACTAAGGCTAATACAAAAAAAAATTACATATATATATATGAAGATGTATATATTTTATATCTTAGTCTGTATTTTATAGTACATTATATAAGCATCGAGGTCCGTTCTCCCTGCAGCGTCAGACAGTAGACGTACCATGTCCCGGATCGGTGTTAGACGATGTAGGAAAATGTATTGACACAGTTTACGTTGTTTTCTTTTTAGTTAATACCATGTTCTTTTCTATTTTGAAACATTATTTTTTTATATTTGCATCGTTTTTTTGTGTCTCATATTTGTTATAATGGAACGACTATCGACTTTTAAAGGGCTATATTTTTAAAAAGCGACCTATGCCATTTTTGTTTTGATAAGATCTGAAACAGAATGCATTTTTTTTTAAAACGTTGATGCATGAATATCGAGTATAGATGAACAGATAATTATTTTTTAATTAATAATAGCTAAAGTATACTTATATGGAAGGTATAGTTCACCACATAGGTTTAGCGGAGTACCTTTTGGCTCTTCGCTCATACAATTAGGTATGCTTATTAATAAAAAAAAAACTATTGCTTCAACGTTTTATATCCATATAGTGTTAAAAGAATCACCCTATGCTCATAAAATTATAAAAATATTATATATTAATCCCGATTCTTTAGAAGTTTAAAAGAACGATGGATTAAATCCAAAAACTTTTTCTTAAAAAAATTGGAAACATTTTTTTATTCAAAATCCTATGACATAAAATTAGTGTGGCGGGTTGGGTTCAACAGCTATCTGATTAAAATATGTATTACCACAGGCTCAAATACGAAGGCGTTGTATCGCCTATTTCCAAAGACATGGACAAGTGTACGAATCCCAATTACAAACCGTTTGATCCGAGTGCGGCGTACGCTGAGGTGATTGAGCTACCGCACATCAAGTATATTATTATACACTATACCTAAAAATATTATAATTATTATTATTATTGTTGCTATTATTACGTGAATTTACGCGTCTTATAATGATCGTTAAAGTATAAACGATAGCGACGTCGACGTGATAATTATTTTATTATTAATACGCTATTGAGTGTAACGCGATTATACGATATTATTTATGGTATTATTATAAAATATTATTTGCAGTTTTAATACCTAACTGTGTTTTATAAAACCAGGGACTTTCTGGGGCCGATAATAGAATTCCAAGTATTCAAGGCGTTGTGTACGATTTGCGGAGAGTACAAATCTAAACACTCAAAAACCAAACACTTGTACGAATGCAACCTGCGTGGCTATAAGAAAGTTGGAAGAATTATCAAGTATATATATACTATGTATTAGTAAAGTATATAACTATCGAAACAAAGTAAACAATGTACGTACAACTTAATAAAATAAGGCTGTTTTTTTTGTGATTTATCTTAGATCAGTCATGGCGAGTGGCTCTTCAACGAAATGGCAATATCTATTTGAGACAATAGTTGGACACCAACGAATAGAAATAGAACCATTGTTGGAATATTTTCGACCCCTTCACAATCATCTATTAAAAATCAATCAGGAGACCAATGAACACATTGGATGGAAGTAGTTTTCGCAAAAAAAAAAAAAAATGAAATAATGAAATATGTTTTAGAAAGGTATCATCAGAAAGAAAAGTGCATTTTATATAATATAGCAGGGTTTCAAACCTGTTAAAATTGCAGTATAGGTACTTTTTTAACCGATTTTATGGGAACATTTTCATAAACGAAAACGAAACCACAATTTATTAGTTTATAGAACAAAAACGAAATATTTAATCAGAACTATTTTTTGTTCGACTTTTGTTAACATTTTCTGATCACTATGTTTCTAATATTTTAGTAAATGATGGGAGTCATGGCGGTATATTTTAGTTAAAGCCATTAGTCAATAAAATATATTTGAATAGAAAAAAATTATAAAAGAATGAAAACCATACGAACAAAATAATCATTTTGGTTTGAAACCCTGACCTATAAAATATATTCATTAAAATAAAAACTTAAAAGTATATTCGTTGATATTGTTAGGGCCGAGATACATCGCAGCGAAAAATAAAAAAATGAAAAAGTGACAAAGTGGTTTGCATACAATACAATATATTTTCTGTACCTCTCTGTCAGACGAATAACTGCTTACTCTACTATTTCGGTGGTATTCATACGGCGGTGTTTCACAGATTATAATAACAGTGTTGACATTAACTACAATAACTTTATGTACTTGGAATACAAATGACAAAAGTCACATAGCAATGTGATTGTATTAATATGCTTTTCCTGTACAAATTTGCGCATTATTGTAATAATTTCTCTAATTCATATGATTCCGGTAAAAATGTAGCTACTTATAATATGATATTTTAAATTATTTATAAATATCAAAACAATGGTCCCATACATTATTTACACAATGGGTACTATATCAATTAAAATATTAAATCATTACTTTATTTTACAATAATTTTTTTTTAGGTTTAACGATTCAAATGTTTATTATTGATGACGATTGACAACTACAATTATTGTTAATAAAGATAAGGGGATATCCTCTATACATAAAATAAATCTTGGAATATTATAAATGGTTAGTTTTTAAAACAAAATAAATACACTATATGTATATGATATTATATTACATAAGTAAATATAAATAATAGAAAACACCAAAAATTACAGTGGAAAGAGATGACCTGGAAAAAGATTAATTTTAAAACTGTTTTTTCTGAACCATTTTATCCTTGAGGAATAATTTTTTTTTAACCATTTGCTTATTTCTAACCAATAACGATACTGTTTCTTTTAAGAATTTAATTTTTTCCCCGGAAATTTATTGTAAGCAAAATATATTAATAAATAGAATTTTTTTGCATAATACATTCTAATTATAATATAACTAATACATATCAAATTTAGTCAATTTCTTCTGACCTAATTTTTTTATTTCAATAAATTCTTATTGTTCTTACTAATATACTTACTTATGAAAATCGTTACTGAGTTATAAAGGGCCACATTCATCATAACTTTAAGTGTTGGAAAGAAAATCTATAATATAATACGAGAACTGATGTAGCATGTAATAGATGCAATGCAAATGAAGAAAGAACAATTCCAAAAAGGTGTGCCATTCACATTCAAGCATCTATAAGTTTTCATACATATATATTTGTATTTATCTATTTACTTAGATTATGTGTATAAATAGCACGTAGTGTTAAATGCATGTTTTCATATTTGAAGTAGAATAAAAAAGTAATTTAAAAAAAATACCTGTTTTCGTGTTGCTTAAACGGTCTGCTAGATGGCCAATTTGTGTAGGGACTTGGGATACCTACCTATAGGATAGCTATCTGTATAAATAATTAAAAAACATACGATACGACGAACGGTGTCGATTAGGGATTTCCATCAAATATAAGCTATTTGATACGACGCAAATTATATTACCCACTCTGTTTTGAGTATTAAGGTTTTTAAGCTCGAACGGCGAGAGAAGTGACGATGGACGTGATGCACATGACGTATATATTATGCAGAATATTATTATATTTCGCAGTCGGCGGCGGACGGGTGTAAGCTTATTACGAGGTCAAACGCTGCGAGACACCCTTAAATTAATATTATATTATAATATAATATACACCATCGCGATGTTTGAACTATTTCTGCAGCAAGAAACACGACGCGTCTGCCGGTCCCTCGACGATGTCCGACGACGACGGCCGCGACTGCAATAGCAAAATAACGCGTCGGCGTCAATAAAACATGAATAATTAAGACCGCGCAACGTAGGTAGGTCGTGTAGGTAAGTGTGGGTAGCTACCGAAATAGTGTCGTGTTGTTTGTAAAATATTTACCATTGTACTGTTCGGCGCTGCGACAGTTGCATGTGACTAAGACGTTATATTATTGTTATTACACAGGAGGACGAGACGGGATTGGATTGTTTTTATTCAAAAGTCATCCCAAAAAGTCGTCGCCGGCGCGTGTCGGTTTAATGCCACTTTAATATATCATGATTATTATCATCGCGACAAACCGTAAACGTCATAATAGCAATAACAGGTACATGCGTAACACATATTTGATATTATACATAATACGAGAACCAGACTACGGACGGCTCATATTATATACTACAGGCTGTAAATGTGTGTTTGAAAAGTAACGGGTCAACGCGATAATATAGCTGTATACACTGTACACTGCGTACCCATATACTTACCTCTTGTGAGCGTATTCTCCGTGGAAACGTCGTCGGTGCGACGTAATAATGTAATAAAGTGTGCCGCGCATGCCCTGGCCGTAATAATGTCGACGGAAACTTGCAATTTTGCCTTTCTATTGGTTTTTCCGGTCACAATGCACGCGGATCGGTAGGTATATGGTATTGTAGTGCGTGCCTTCTATGCGTTCAGACAGTGTAAATATTATATTATGTAGCGGCCTGTGCACGTTAGTCTGCACGATGGGTATAGGTACACAAATACACAACACAATATTATATCATATACCTAGCTGGTAGTACCATATTATAGTAGCGTTGTGTACCTATATGCCTATACGACATCGACTCGACGATCGACGACATCCATCAGTTTATTGTTAGTTGCATGTGTGTACGGTGTACGTATAATAATATTGCACAGTACAATATTGAGTGGTGCCTACATTATGACGTCTCCGAAAAAATCGAATGCGTCTTAGAGCCTAAGATTTCGAATGTACGTCATTATAATATTCACCAAAGACGAGTATTATAATAACGGTATTTGCTATGTGTTAAAGATATTAAAATATGCAAATAAAATGTAGGTATCTATATTTTTAAGTCAAGTTCAAAAGTCACATGATGCGGTACAAAATAATATTATTGTTATATGTTGTACTGTACAACTCGTTGTGTGTGGTCTAAAGTATATTCCAATATTTCTTATTTAAATGGTTTGGAAATTCCTTTTAGCTTCAGATCCAACTATTATCTTAATTCATTTAATAATTTCAGTGTTATTAAATATATTGTGTGTTCATAATAAATTATTACGATTCTGTATTTTAAAATATAAAGTTAATCAATTGAAAATTCATTGTTTTAATTTTTTTTACTATATTTGAATCCTATACTACATGTCTACATTCAATTTTACTTTTTAGTTGTCAACTGCATACTTAATACGTATTAAATGAGGGTCACTGCAGATTTGAGTTGAATCATATACAGAATATTCCAATATTTATTATTAAGATGTAATCGCATTATTACAAACTTTTTATTTTTATTTTATTAAATTATTTGCAATCTATACAGTATAATAAGCAAATTTGATAGTTAATGATTAGTGACACGAGATTAACATTTATGGACAACCCCTTAGCAGTGTCACCCAATCTCGTACATTTTAAGTAATATATTGTGTTTTTTTTTTTTAGTAGGCTTGTTTCGACTCCATTCAAATCTATACAATGAAAACAATTCAGACAATTTTTACAAACAGACTAAACCAAGATTGTCTGAAAAACTTTTTTGGTATAACTCGAACGTCTCGAACTCAAAATGGTAACTGTATAAATCCGACTCCAATTCAGTTTCAAAGAACATTTAAAAAGCTTTTTTGTCTTAACTATTTTTAACATTCGGAAAATGCTAATTACATTTATGATTTAGATAGTGTGTTAACAAATTTGGATGAAGCTTCCCTATCAAATATATTAATAGCTGGAAATAATCCCATAATAAATGTCCCAACAATCAACATTGCCTGTTGAAAACACAACATATAAAAATTTAGAGCTGCCAGAGCAAAATGCTTTTACATACATTTGTGGCTTTTTGATAAGTAAATGCTTAAAGTACCACAGTTGTGAAAAATGCTTTGAATATGCACATTTGTCATCAAATCTCAAGGATAATATTCTTTTTATACACTTTAAATCAGTCGCTGTGGACTCAGATTCATTATTTGGTAGTTTAATAGTTCCAGGTTCTGATTTTTTTCACTTCATTTTTTAATTGAACAAACTTTTTAATACATTTTTTATAAAATGTATGCTAGAAGAACATGTAGGGCAGAAATTAAAAGATAAAATGATCAACCATATTTTTTTTTTACTCACCCATGTGATAGTTTTCCAGATGAATTTTTAGCAAACCTTTTTATAGGATTTAAAATATATAGTACACTGATACATGCAAATAAATTTCATCACAACACTAGATCAAATAAAGGCCGTAGAAAAATCCAAATATTGTCAAACTTATAATTATATAGATTAATAATATTAATAAATAGTAATAACTAATAAGTACTTTATAGTTTTAGTTTACTAAGTAAGTCTTTAAATGTTTAAATTTAAATTTTGGATAAAATCGAGAAATATATTTTGTTATCAATTATTGAAATGAATATTATTGTTTTTATTTCTTATCAAAACTTTTGGCCAGCACTCAGGGTCACCCATTTATTTAACACTTGAAGATAGGGAGTATCGTACCCCTGGTAATAGTTACCTATAGTAGTCGGGAGAACGAAAAGTGACCGCTGTTAATATGATAGGAACTTTTTTTTTCGATAAACAGTGGGTCTCATAGTGAATCAAGGCGTGGTTATTAATTAATGATTAATTCAAAATGCTCGTGCTTTGTTTCACAATTTTGCGATACAATGTAAAAAATTCACCACCAGGTGCGTGGGCATCAGTGGCCAGTGGCCACTTTTCATTCTTCCGACTATAGCATGATCTTCGATCACACTTTAATACACAGTATGTCTGATCCACATGATTCAAAATACTAAAGTTGCCCTAACCACAATAGCTGGAATATTCACCGCTGGCGCTTACGAAATGATGTGTGATATATAGAAGCAGGATTTACAGTGCCGCTACCGCTGTATTTGAGCTTATCGCCATTATTATACAGAAGCGCTAGTGGTGAATTTTCCAGCTGTTTTTCATAGTGGTTTCCATAGACACTTTTTCATGATTCGTTGCGCAAACATACTATCTTAAATCGTGCTCATCCGTGTACAATGTACATATTATTATCTACGATTCCCACCACTTATCCAAACGTCCTATTCTCCAGCTAAGCCGTTGTTTATACTTTCAGGTACCCTTTTGGTGGGAGAATTTAGACTAGAGAAGGCGAAGTATGTTTTTTTGGGTGCGCGAGCGAGTTGCGCACTCTCGTTGAACAGAGTATGGTGAATATACATTTATTTCTAGCCGTCTTCAAAGCAAAATTGCGAGATCTAAGCAGATTTTTTTACAAATATTATGTACAATCACGTTTATATTTTTTGAAGTGAAAACTTCTCTTGGGAAGCTCTGCTCGCCGCTTGAATCTCGGGAGTAGACGCCTAAAAGAATCAGAGGTACTGGCGTGACATATGTAACGCTTTCGATCCAATGCATCCATAGTGCATACATTATATATATGTGTGTGTGTGTCCTCACATGTTCGTCTTCGGATAGTGACTCTTACACCACGATTTAAGATAGTATGGTTATCATCGACTATACTGTAAAATGGCTTATTCTGCGGTTATCGATATGAATCTAGCAACATTTGGAGTCGTAAACACACTTAATTTCCGCACAAGGAGTGCTGCTACAATAAAAAAAAGTGAGATTCACTGTACTAGTTTTCTCTTTAAGATGATAATAATCATGCAAGTAATTTAACTGTTGAGGAATTAAAATACAAAAATGAAAATTAATATATAATATATAAATATGTTTATTTATCATACATGCTTCTACCCTTTTTAACTATAATATAAATCAATAATCAACATTTATTAGAAGAAGTTTACACTTTTGTCAACCATCCCAAGACAGTAATTAATTTGAAGTTTTTTTTTATTTAGTATTAAAACTATGGTTACATAATAAATTTAAAAACATGTTTTGTTTGAGAATAAATATTGTGCTAAATTATATAAAAATAATAAAATAAATCTTTCTTATAAAAAAATTTAAAAAAATAAATAGAACAGTCAATTTTCTTTTGATTGAAATTAAAATGCACAAATGATTATTTTTTTATTAATGTAAAGAGTAAAGAGTAAATTTCGATATAGTATGTAAACATTGTAAGCCCAATAGTAAACCACCGGTCTACTATTCCATACTTTGGTTTCTCAGGATACACAAAACTTCTTCTATCATATCGCTTAGCTTTTATTCGGCATCAAGAAAATCAATCCACATCTGTTCATGTTGTTTAAGCATTATTGGGATTAGGCTCTGATAAAAATCTCTCTCTTCTATCAGTTTTTTCATTTTGACAGCTGTGTCAATGTTTACTTTTTCTTCTAGTTCAGCATATTTTCTTTTAAGAACGTTTATTTCATTTTTGCATGATTCCACTATACTATAAGAACTCAAACACTGGGAAGTCGGTTCATTAGAAGGGTCAAGTACTTCTTCAGTAAATGTACTTGTAGTTGGAATCTCGAGTAATGCTTCTTGTGGTGTTGAAGTTTGAATCAGTTTTGACTGCTTGCCAATGGTTATTTTTTCTAAACAAAATTCAACCTCACAATATCATAAAATGTATTTTAAAAGTTTGAATAGCAATATTTACCACACGCTGTGAGTTGATCAGCTACCTCGTTATCAATGAGAATATATGCTTGTTGTTTGTTTAATTCTATGACTGAAGTTGCATCATCAGGGCCACAATGTGCATCTAACAAAAAAAATTAATTTTCAATTATATGAAAATAACATACATATTGAATTACTACCATCAACAACTTCGACACATTGACCATTAGTATGAACAAGAGTTTGATTTGATGTGCTAGATGTACTAGGAAATACTCCATATTTTTTTGTAGCGACATCATTCTGATTGAAAACATGTTATGAAAATGATTATTTTTAAAGTTTCAAAAATGTTTCAACTCAAACTCAATGATATATTATTGTACATTTTAATACACACCTCATTGTTTTCTACTACACTCAATTGTTGTTGAATTGGCTGTAATAAAATGTGTTTTTCTGGAACCGTAACATGTTTGCTTCTAGGTCAAATAAATAAAATAAAATACATAAAATACAATAATTATAATAACAAAATAACAAAATCTAAATTTCAATTTTAATATGATATATTAATAGTCTGTGTACACCTAATTTATCCTAACATAATACAGAGATGAAATGTGCTTAGAAAGAGAGTCCTCAAGCCATCATTGTTAAAGAGAGAAAATAGAATACATACTAAATATATACTATTCTCGAGCCATCGAAAGATCGCTTTACGCTACTCCCCAATTCCTTGAAGTATCCAAATAAACAAGGACCGAATTCCTCCCACTCTATTACTTGTCTTACTCGTCACTGTACATTTCCCACTCACCAGGGCTCAGAATACTCAGGTATTCGCGAGAATGGACTTAATACCTACACCGTGGCCGGGGAATACAAGGTATCATGGAATAAACGATTTTATTTTTACCACGGACTAAGATATAATGGACTGGTATCGACTATCTTATCAGAGGCCCTCAAATGTTTCTAAAACCGCCGTAAGGTACAACTACGGGTAAAAGCGCCATCTATACATGTGTTATAAAAACACAATAATCAAAATAACTAATAACATAATTAATTATGAAAACATTAAAAATCAAAATAATATACTCATTGTGTGGTATTGAAATTTAATATTCTTAATATCCGTGAATTTTCGTGACCAAAATTTGTTCAAAATAGTAAAAATCTAAATGTACAATATTAGTAACTTTATTTGTTACTAGGAGCGCTTTTACCCCTAGTTGTACCTTTTGGCGGCCTATTAGGACGGGGGTGAGGCGGTGTCGAAACATTTGAGGACCCTTCCTCTATTACCCCTCAACCATGTCGATACCAGTCCAGTATATCTTAGTCCGTGATTTTTACATAAGAAATAATCAATTATAATCACGATTTATAGATAGTCTTCCGGAGTGAATCCATAGACTAGACCATAAACCGAACATGTATGACCGGCGAGGTTGGGGGTTCAGTCACGGCAATTTGCGTTACATATTATACTTGTTATATATTATATACAGTTTATTGTATCAGGTAGTGCAAGGTTGTATCTGGTTGTGTTAAGTGCAGGTAGTGCGATGAACGATGATACTACCTTGATCAGTGGACATCGGAACTACAACTACGTTTTGTCTATTATTATAAGGTCTATGAGTAAATCGCTATAAACTGTTTAGCTACAAATAAATAAAATGTTCCAGATTTCATCTGGGCAAAAATTGATGGCGAAATTTTTAGAACCAAGGATTAAGAGGTGATTATAAAAAAAATACTAAGAATTAGGTAATTAAATAAAAACATTTTTTGTACTTCCATTCTTACTACCGACCGAAGTGAAAACTGTTTTATTAATTATTTAAGAAGTATTCAACCAGATGACGAACGTTTGCTCAAATTCATAGAATATTTATTAAAAAATTATATTCGTCCTGAACTCCTGACCCAAAATTCCCTCCTAAATTATGGTCTGAATTTAAGCCTAGTACAAATTGTACAGGATACTCTGGCTTTTCTTGGCTATTTGCTTTGAAAGTTGTAAAAATATGATACAGTACGTAAAGAGGGGCCTACGATTAAAAGGTCCAAGAATAGACTGGTGAAATATTAATGAAATTCTACTCTGACAATTTATTATTTGTCAGTCGTTCTTATTTTGTTTTTATCCGCCAACAAAATATTATAGACTCTGGCAGATTTTAAAACAATAATAATTTTTCCTGTACTAGTGATAAATGATAATGTATACAAAAACTATACTACAAAGCAAATATACCAAAAACTATAAGATAATAACTCAAACAATATGTCAATAATACTTACACAGGGAGCGATTTTTTTATACATTTCTTGTGGTTGAATGCCATTTCTTCGGTTAATAAATAAACATGGCATTTGTCACAAATGAAGATATACTCCTGTTCCAAGCATAAGTCAATAGCTTCTTCTGTACCCATCCTCACGTTTTGAGGCAGCATACGGTGATTTGTTTGTTCAGACATTTTATCAAAACTTCATTGTTGAAAGCGTAATATGAAACAAATAAAATAATAATTAATATGGGGGGCGTCTTCACTACATTTCCTAACTGATTAAGGGCACACTATCAAATATTTGTGTACCACGGATATATTATGAACCCATCTACATTCATTATATTTTCATAAGTTAATGGTCTTTTTTAACTTGTGAAGCATAAAATTGTTTTCAAATTTCATTCGTATTTTTTTAATTATCGACGATATAAAATGTTTTTTAAAAAACTAGAAATTTGAATAGAAGGTTCCTCATTAGTTGTTCTTAAAATTTTTTAAAAAAGTTGATTGTAAATCCACAAAAATTTTTATGAAAGTCTGGTGTTAGAATTTTGACGAAAAAATGTATGACCTACGCAAATTTAATATTGGTAAATCTGGTTGAGGTAAAACCAATCTTATAATATTATTACTAAATATTGGATTTGCTATGTTAATCTTTATATTTTTACAAGATCCATAGAATAATCAATTTATAAAGAATGGAATAACACTGATAAGATTGAAAAACATATTTCTGATAATGACATACCATCCTAGTATCTGTTGATGATTGCAAACGAAAAAGCTTAGTTTTTTTTATGTTTATATTTTAAATAAACCAAAAAAAATCAAAGAATATTTTATAAGATCCAGATCCAAAAACATTTCATGTATTTATCCAAGCTAAAGTTATAGCATATAATTAGGTCCTATCGCAAAAAAATAACTACCACAAGATAGCTATTTTGGGTTAAATTATAATTATAATAATTAATTGAAAAATATATAGTAAAATTTAAAGAATATACAAATAAAGTTAAATATAAAGTTATTTTAAATTTAAAAAAAAATTTATTTTATTAAATTAATAAAAAAAAGCTAAAAATAATAAAAAAGTGTGAGATTAAAAATTAAAAATGATCAACTTTAAAGTAAAATAGGGAATTTTTAGCTATAGTAATAGTAAGAGTAGGGGCCGTTAGTTTATTAGTTTGAGGTATAAGCACAATTCCAAACATTATCATTGATGCTCAACACAAAAAAGCATTAAACTGAAACAGAAGGTCATAATAAGGAAATAGAAATCTTAGTTTAAAAAATCTAATAAACATTATTATTACATTCAGGATTAAAAAAAGAAAAAAGGAATTAAACCATTATCTTATTCTGATGCAGTAATATATTAAGAACATTAGTGGCTGAGTATAAAATGTAAATTTTCTATTAAACAGTAGGAAGAAATTACTATATATTTATCATCTACTCTCAGGATAAAATGTATATACCTATGTGAATATAAAATCACAATTCAGTTAATTAAAACAACAACTTTTAACATAAAAGAAGAAATGTTTTTTTAACATTCAAAATTAAAAGTACGACATAAATTAATAAAATATTGTACTGCGTATTACATGCTAATGGTTTATAAACAAATTTGCAATAAAATGCATTGTGATCTTTCTTTAATGTATATAACTCCACTACATTTTAAAGATTGGTACTAGATGAAACCATCAATGATTTTTGGATCTAAAACTAATGTTATTATATACGCTTATTTTTCTGAAGATTTGCTTAGCATCTGGTGCAGAATTTTTTATGATCTTGTAATAATAATTATATAAAAATAATAATAATACAATTATAAAAAATATATAAAGATGCTTATTAGTAAATATAATATTGTTCATAAAAAATGTGCTTCAAACATATTCACTACTTACAAATTATTCTAATTAAGTGGATCCACATCATTGCTAAAAATGTAAATTTCATACTAAAAGTATGTCTGAATTTATTCAAAAGAATAAAAATACAGGTGATTGTCGGTATAAAGACAATGTAATACAAACAAAAATAATTTATCTATGATACCAGAAATTATAGACATTTATGAATAATTTGAGCCCATTAGAAAACATTTTATCCAAGTATTAATAACACTTGGCAGATTAATTTGTACAGTTTACAATTAAACTAATTTAATGTCAGCATAACTCTTTCTTTAAGCATCTACCACAGTCTGATTTCACCCCTTTTTTAAAACGTTATCTATCTAATCTATGGTCTTATGGTCATCTTATTGGTTGCACATGCCTGCTGACTTCGCTTCAAGATATAGACATACAACTCCCAATATCATTAATAAAACTTTGTTTAATAACCAAAACTTACAAAGACCACACATAGTCTAATTTAATAGCTTACGTATACAATATTCCTTACTACCTAGTTTATATTTCAAACTGGGACTAAACGATTCACCTTTTTGTACTCTTCATTTAATTGAAGTTATCTGTGACCTCCATCATATTTTATTTAAATGTCCTGCTTTACAGGTTAAAAGTTAAATGCTATTCATCACTCTTAAATCTCTTAACATTTCTTTCAATCTCCACTCTATTTTAAATACCAAATCAGTTACAGCTATAAAATTAATAGTTACCTTTATTTTGGAGGCTGGCTTTGTAATATAGTTAAATAATTGATGTTTAAGTAATTATATCTTATATTTTATTTTACTGTAAATGTCAAGTTGTTATAGTTTATACTAGAAGCTTAAAATATAATAAAAAATAATGTCATAATATACCTATTATGATGGTACCACATTTAATGTGGTAATACATAACTGAATAAGACATTAGGGGATGATTTTTTTTAAAAAAAGTGAAATAATACAAAGCATAATCTCCTGGTCACAATTTAGAACCTCAAGAAATACAGAAACAAAAATAAACCGATTTAGAATCAACAACACCCACCTCTCACATGGACACCTCATGAACAATTAACCACCTATGATATGCACCTCACGTGGAGTGACCCTTACTGTAAATATATGATAACTAATATATCTAATATATGATGACTGAATCCGGATTGAATGAAGATGAAAGAGAAAAACATAATATACCAACAAATATGTACGAAATAATCGGACCTCGACTGCAGAAAAAGTCATGAAATTCCTCAGGAGCGTTGAAATTAAAAAATACATTTAAGAGAAAGACAAATATATAGTTATAATTCTATATAATTGTTGTTCAATTATTACCAAAAATAAATAAAATATAATGTATAAAGCAAATGGCCCTTGTTGTTGATGTTAAATGAACAAAAAAAGTAAATAAATAAAAAAAGTTCTCTTCTTCATAAGCCTGAACATAAAAGAGTAAAAAGTTAAAGTTGAATTAATTTTAAATTTTAACTTAACTTTTTTAAATTTTATTTTTAACTTAACTGATTTATTAGTAGTTTATTGATATAAGCTTAGTAAATAACGAGGAACTTATAATTAAATCCAAGTTACGTTATTTTATAGGTAAAACAATTATTATTGATGATGCATGCTGCATAAATATTAACTTTTTATTATTTTAAACCATATTACTAGCTATTTATATTAAAAATTACTTAAGTTGATAAGATAATTGTAAGTTTCCATGTATTTAACTTAAATGAGTCAAAAGCAAAAAGAGGATAACTATTAACTTTAAGCTTTTTAAAATATTTTTTAACTTAACTTAACTCAATTAAAAATTGTCATTGATTCTAACGTGCATAGGCTTGAAATAATATAAGAATTATTAGTTTACCTAAAATTATTAAGCCATGTAATGATACATATCATAGAACAATTAAAATGAAACAGGTTGAAGTAAATGAAAACAATAAAAATGAACAACTTTTTACTGTTTAATAGGGTATTCTGAAATAAATAAATTTGAAATCGATGAAAGAGTTAGGTTATCATCAATGGTAGATGTTTAAAGAAATAAATTAAAAAGTAACTGTCCATTAAATTATTTACAGTGAAAAGGTTTTTAAATCTTATGTTGTTCATTATAAAATAAAAGACACAGAGAGTGGTATCTATTAAGAAGAATTAAAAACATTAGAATTATGAGATATACTTAAAATGTTTTATATGTATTGATAAAATAAATTTAAAAAATGACTACTACTAATTATTTATGTATAACTTCAGAAGAAAAAAAGTATTTTATCCCTAATGGATCTTTCACATCTACTATCATCGAAATTGTTTTTAGGTCTTCCTGTTATTTTTTTCTGTACTCTTACTGTTAATTCAAATTATGCTTTAGAGACTTACTTGTTAACTTAGAATAACTAAAATATATTGGTTAACAATTATTTTCGACTATTTTTTAATAACACACTTCAAAATATTTGTAATGCTTACGACTAAAAAAAATACTTTGTATTAAAATTAAATACTTACAAAGGTTAAGACTCGTTTTCCTTTTGAATCTAAAACAATAAACAATAAACAATTTTATTATATTATGATGTCAGAAAATGAGTAAGTGCATTTTCTACATCATAGTAGAAACGATAAATACGGTGCTCTGATTGGTTTCGCTCAGTGTGACCACAAACACCAACATTAAATTGGCGAAGTTAACCTTAAAATTAACCGAAGTTAAATCGGCCGAATTTGTCCGACTACATAGATATATAAAAAAAACTATAATCTAGTTTAGGCGGCGCTGCGGTTGCCAGACCGAAGAGAATTACCAGATTATATAATTAACGTTAAATAGTATCAATTCGTTGACAAGGTCACACTGATTCAAACGGACATCTTATCAGCCAGTTTTTGCTTACATCACGATTTAGGTTATACGAGTTGGGTAATCTTTTTTCTATGGGTGCAGTTGTCCGAAAAATGATAAGGAAGTTGATATCACGACTTGTGCCATAATATACCAGATCCAGCAGTGACACCCCCAATAAGAAATAATTTACAGTGATGCCTTGTTAGCGGCACTCGTCGCTACGCTCCCCGGCGCCGTAGCTCCGCTCCGCAAATCGAAAATATTCCTCGACTTGCTATGCAACACCACCTCAAGTTGGTCATAGAGTAACCGCTGTTGTACCATAGAACAACCACCCTTTTCATTTTTCGGACAAGTGCGTATCACTCAGGTTATACAGGTTGCCCAT